AATAATAACTTGCAGTGCTCTGAGGAACCTGTTTTCACTGGAAAATATCCACTGTGCACTGGCCTGTTAGTTGGATCCTGGGCGATGTGCAGCACACATAGAAAATGAAATGGTTAAAACAGAGTAAGTGTTATTCTGCCTTTTATTCTAAAGTCTGTCTCCAAATAGATATTGTAACTCTAGCTTTTCTAATTATTTAAAGGTTAAAGCGCAGACACACAATATATTTTTTTAGACTTCACACCTATGAGAAAGCCATAATTCTGTCATTTTTTTCTTCATCATCCATTTAGAAATGATAACGTGGTAGGGGGGAAACACAACCACACTTAATTCTATAAGGAAACACTGACATTACAATTAGCCTCAAAATGTTCAAAATAAATCAAGCAAGTCAACTTAATTTTAGCCTTCTTCCCCTCTAAGAATCATTTTTGGTTAATACATCTGAATGTTGGCAGTAACTTAACAAAAAAAATCCACCAAACCACACCAGTTTTCCATGTTACTGGTGCTCCGTTACTGAGTATAATACTATTTTTAAATTGTATGAATGTCTTAAAAAAAAAAATCAAAGGTGTAAGAAAAGCTACAGACGGTATGTTTTTTTAATCAACCATTAAGGTTTGCAAAAACCTTGTTAGCTACTGTTATAAGAACAATTGTAACATTGCCTTCTGTAGGTCATTCACAAACAAAATAAATTTTAATTAAATTCTAAATTCTTGTCAGTTAGTGAAGTACTATAAAGCACTTTGCATAGAAAAGAAAACAGAATCCAAGACAGAAAAAAAACACCTGATAAGGTGATACTGACATATTCAATTTACAGCCTTAAGCAAGCGCAGTGAGGATTTTCAGTGATCACAGAAAAGAAAAGCTCAGCAAAGACATTTTGAAATGCTACACTGGAATGCATTTGTTTTAAATAGAGATCAAACCACATGTGCTTGGGACTACTAATGGATTTTTTCATTACCCTTCTCTGACTACAGCCCAATTCAATTTCAGAGCATGCTTATATTTAGGCACATAAATGCTCCTTCTGACTTCAAAGTATGGATTCATGTACTGAACTGCTTCCTGATGGGGAAATCATGTCAGTTTTGGGAAAGATAAAAATGCTGTTCTCCAGAGGTATTAAATAGTAACATTAGCTCTCATTCACACTCAAAAATATACACAAAGAAATATTTACCTACACCAGTGTGAATTAGCAGTATTGTGGATAGGGATGAGTTTGTATGAAATTGAACTGATATGGACCTAATTCCTGGGAAATACCGTGGCAGGTGATATTTTACCCACATTCTTACTAAGAGTGGATACATGAAAATGGATCAAGTGGCTCTTCCCCTCAGCTGAAAAATTAGACAGTGATGCACAGCTACTGCTGTGGAAAATGAGCAGATTGGCAACGGGAAGGATGCTCTCCGTGCCTCTCTTTCCCAAAGTAGCAACCCCTTCTCATAAGCCACAGAAAAACAGATTAAAACAAACAAACACCACCACAAAAAACAAACAAACAAACAAACAAACAAACAAAACCAAACAAACAAACAAAAAAAAAAAAAACCAAAAAAAAAAAAAAAAAAAAAAAAACAAAAAAAAAAAAACCAAAAAAAAAAAAAAACCAAAAAAAAAAAAAAAAACCAAAAAAAAACCCAACCAAACCCACCCACACATTGGGCAAAAGGCAGCCAAGAGAACAATGGCCTGGGCACTTCTTCCACAGCCACCACCACAGGCACCTCTGTCCCACTCTGAGGCAGATTGGGAGTGAGAAGCCTTGTGGGGAGCACGGGGTGGCTGACTGCAGCAACAAACGTTCCTTAGCTACCTTCCAAGATGAGAGCCAGAAGGCCAACTGCCTCAAGGGTGTGTATGGCTGTGGTGATTCCTCCTGTATCCCTCCTGGGATGAAATGCCTGGCCACCTGCATACCCCTGTCTCTGAAGCACCTGTGCACCTGCATCCGTAGCATGGGAAGTCAACAGGAAGAAGAAGAGACCTGCGTGCGGCCGCAGGGCCGTGACCTCACTGCAACTGTGGAGACGTGGTGGGATGTCCTGCATGACTGGAATGAACAGCTACTTACTGTTTAGGAAACACAAAGCAGCAAAGCAAGGTGTTGCGAGTTGCTCTTTATATGACAGCAACTGGAATCTATCAAGCTCTGCCTAGGAGGGGAATGAAGAACATGTTGAAAGCTTATGGTTAAAAATTAAGGGGCAGGCTAATATTAGCAACACTCTTGTGCTTACTACAGGCCACCTGATCAGGAAGAGGAATTTGATGAGGCCTTCTACCAAAGGCTGCTTCTACTGCTGAAAGTAGCCTCAGGATAACATGCCCTGGTGCTCACAGGGGACTTCAATCACCCTGCTACTTGTTGGGAAGGCAAGACAGAGAGACATACACAGTCCAGGAGGAGCCTGCAATGCATTGATGATAACTTTTTGACACAGGTAGTGGAGAAGCCAATG